TAAAATCTTGAGAACAGCCAGAAGAAAAACACCTGGACGCTATAAGAAGGACTGCTGAAGAGAATAAAATAACACCATCAACTCTGAATTCTATATCATTAAAGATACTCTAAGGATGCAGATGAAATAAAGACTTTTTTGGATAAACAAAAACTACGAATTTAGTATCAGCAGACCTATACTACAAGGAGCTCTAAAGGAAATCCATCAGGTTAAAGGGTAATGATACCAGATGGAAACTCAGATCTTTAGGAAATAGTAAATTTGTGAGGAAAGAGACAGGATTACTTTTTTTCCTCTTATCTTTTAAAAAATACATGACTTTCTAAAGCAAAACTATAACATTGTATTGTGGGGTTACATAAAGTATCAGGGATGGAGGGTGGTAAATTGTTCTTACATGTGAAGGGGTACAACATTAACTCAAACTGGTTAAACTTAGGGATATATATTGTAACCCCTAGAACAGTCACTTAAAATATAATGCAGATAGGTATACTAAAAAGCCAATAGATAAAATGAAATTCTCAAAAAACATTTGGTTAGCCCAAAAGAAGTCAGGGAAAGAGGAATAGAGACAAAAACAGAAAACTTGGAGAAAAAAAAAGAAAGAAGAAAACTTGGGGCTGAGGAGGGAGACTAATAAGATGGTAGCTCTGAATTCAATCACATCAGTAACTAATTTAAGTGTAAATGGACCAGTTATTCTAATTGAAAGATAAGAGATTTTCTGTGTGTGTATATGTATCAAGACCTAACTACGTGATATCTGTGAGAGATACACTTTAAATATAAAGACACAGGTTGAAACTAAATATGTAGGAAAAAGTATACTATCTAAGTAGTAAATATAGGGAATTCCCTGGTGGTCCAGTGGTTAGGACTTGGTGCTTTCCCTGCCCTGGGCCTGGGTTCAATCCTTGGTCGGGGAACTAAGATCCCGCAAGGCGTGTGGCATGGCCAAAAAAAACCAACGGTAAATATAGTAAGATGGGGCTAGATTAATAGCAGATAAAAAACTATTACCAAAGAAAAGACTCTTACTAGAGATAAAGACATTTTATAATGTTGAAAGGGTCATTAGGAAGACTTTATGCCTGATAACAAAGCTTCAAAATACATGAAGCAAACATTAATAGAATTGAAAGAAAAAATTCAAATCCATTACCATTGTTGTGTATTTTAACACCCTCTTCTCAGCAGTTGTTAGAACTAGATAAACATCAGCCGTAAAATAATGAAAACAATATGCAGTTTCTTTACTAAACACAAGATGGCAAAGTAGTCACAGTACTTGCAAAAATGGATCCGTATATTTGAATACAGTGAAATATGCCATGATTTTACTACGTGAGCACACCCTTTTCCTTCATTTATTGTAGAGCCAACAAAATGAACAGTGGTGATTAGTGAAATAAACAGGAATACTGCAGTATAGTAGCATAATACTTTGTATATACATGATGACGTTAAATAAACTTTTGTTGAATTAATGTAATGTGGGGCTTTGGAGTTACATTTGTGTTTGAATTTTAAAACAAATTATTTTAAAAGCTAATTATAAAATTACCACTTTTACTTATAGCAGTAGTTCTCAAACTTTTTGGTTTTAAGATCCCTTTACTCCTTTAAAAATTATTGAGGACCCCAAAGAACTTCTGTTTATGATGGTCATATCTATTGATGTTTACCCTTCAGAAATTAAAATTGAGAAATTGAAAGAATTTAAAAAATTGATTTAAAAATAAACTCACTGTATGTTATTATAAGTAATAATATTTTCATGAAAAATAACTATATTTTCCAAAACAAAATATAGTGAGAAAGTGACATTGTTTTACATGTTGGCAAATATCTTTAATGTGTGGCTTAATAGATAACAACCATATTCTCATATCACCTTCTGCATTTAATCTTGTATACTTGTGAAAGAATTTTTTAAAAAAGGCAGGCAGGATCTTAGTATTGCTATGAAAAAGTTTTGGCCTTGGACCACCAAAAGAGTCTTGAGCTTTGCAGGAGCCCCTGGACCATACTTTGAAACTTACAACATAGAACAAAGAAAAAGTGAAAAATTACTAGTTAGTGGGTGTGTGGCCTGAGCCATGGGGATACCCTTCCCTCCTTATTAGTGGGCTGTCAGGGTTCACATATGTGGGTACCTAACCTGAAAAATTGTGGGAGCCCCATCTGGGAGCTAGATTAATAGATATAAAAGGTCCACTTGAGTCTTCCATTGTGCTGTGTCATCTAGAGCTGGGGGTTGAGAATAGTTTGGGTCATGCTGCAATCCAGTTCTGAGTTCAGTTATCTGAGATATGAGGTGTGATTCAGGTTCCACAGGTGGCAAAAGGCTTTTCCTCTCTAAGGGGAGTTGGAGTAGTGACTAAAAGAAGAGCGGTCTGGAATTGGAACTTTCACATATTGCTGCAGAGAATGGAAAACAGTTCCTCAAGAGGTTAAACATAGATTGCTGTGTGACCCAGGAAGTTCACTCCTTGGTATATACTCAACAGAAATACAAATATATGCCCACACAAAGCCATGTGCACAAATGTTCATAGCAGCATTATTCATAAAAGCTAAAAAGTGGAAACAACCGAAATGTCCCCGAGCTGATGGATGGATAACTAAAATGTAGCCCATCCATACATGGAATATTATTCAGCTGGAAAAAGGAATGAAGTACTGACACGTGCAACACCATGGATGAACCTTGAAAATAGTATACTAAGTGAGAGAAGGCAAACGCAAGAGACCACAAATTGTGTGATTCCATTTATGTGAAATGCCCGAAATATTTAAATCTAAAGAGACAGAAAGTACCTTTGTGGTTACCTGAGGCTGGAGAGGATGGGAAGAATGCTACCTGAAGAATGTTTCTGCATGTTGTTAAATTGTACTATATGTTATGTGGTCCACGGCCTCTGTATAGGGACTCAGATCTTTGCAATATCAATATCAAAAACTCGAAGGGAGACTTCTGCCTTTAAATAACTAATGAGTCTCTGTTTGTTTGTTCCATTTTAGTACTTTTTAAGATCTGGTAATGAGACCACTGTAACTAGTATCTCCTTTGGCCTTAGCTGCTAGGAAGTTCAGGACCACATTTAATTGCTCAATCATAGTAAAACTGTTAGCTAGGCTAGGCAACTGGTATATTTTCTTTTCTTTTACACGTTTCAGCGTGTGTTTTTAAAATTAGTACGCACAAACTTACACAAACTTAAAGTTAATATATTACTGTAAGATGCCCATAGTCTTTATCAGTAGCAGTTGAGGTTTAAATTACAACAAATAAAAATATACGTGAAAAACCAGAGGCAGCGTTTGCCAAGATGGAAGAGTTCTTTTTGTGTAAAATGGCAACATTAGTTTTCAGGTTATACCTGGAATGGTATTGATCCTTGAACTAAGCTTTTCGACGAGCAGTTTTAAACTAGACGTTGTATCTTTAAAAGCCTATTGGGAATAATTCTGATCCTAATCATTACTTCAGACATTTGTGGTCTGTGGAATTTGGAGCATTAAACAATAGCAAAAATTCCTTCTAAATTTGGTGGGGAAAGGCGAATGGGGAAGGAGAGACAGGGGAACTCTGCCAGTTTTTTTTTTTTTTTTTTCTTTTCCTGACTTTTTTGGAGGACTGCTGGAAGATTTTGTGAATTTACTTCTTTTTGTGAATTGCCTTTAAGCAATTTTATAAAGAAACCTGGACTGCTTGGTTATTTTCCAAAATTAAACTGGTGGAAAAATTACAGTACCTTTCTTGAGTCTGAAATTCAACTACTTTCCTTCCAAGATTATTATATAGGGTGAACATTTTAAATTATCTGAGGTTATTTAAATTCATGGAAGTCATTACATAAGGAATAGTCCTGGATATAAGAAAACCAGTTGTCCTCCTTGCACTCTTGAGGAGTCTTGAGGGCTGGATTTGTCTGCTCTCTAGTTTACTACAAGTGAAGGATTAAAAAGGAATTCACTTCCTTGGGTAGACTATTCATTGAGCTATTCTCCTATATTTCTTGTTCCCTATTCCTTCTTCTTAAAAAATAAAAACATAGTTAAATATATGAACAGATAAAGTAAATATTGGGGAAGATGAAAGGATTATTAAGATCTAAATAATAATCTTGGTTCCTTGGGCAACTGCAGAGAAGAATTGTGCTTGCTTTCGCAGACTGTGCCTCAGTGGCCCAGTCACCATCTCGGCCTTTGCTGAGATGATCAACATACGGGTGACAGCTCCATTCTTTTTCATCAGATTCTCCTGCCAGGGCAGCAGAGGACGATGAAGTGGTAATATGAGAGAGAGAGGTGGGGGCAGAGAGAACTGTTAAATATTATATATGGTGTTTCATTATTTCTTTGCCTTAGGAGGCAGTTCTCTATAGGTCTTTGCGCACCTGCATAGCTTGCGAGCAGACGCGCCGACTGTCATTGTTCTAGGCAGTCTTTTCAGGGATGTTTGCATAGTTAGATGGTAGAGCGAGTGTCTCCCTCTAGAGCAAAGGACAGCTTTGCTTACTGTTCAGTATAATAGAGATCATGTCTCCCTCCAGAGCAAAGGGCCAGGTGTATTTACTGCCCTTCAGAAAATGTTCGAGCTTCCTAAGCTCAAGGTTGCTCTTCCGTCATGAAGCACATTGAGTTTACAGGTGTTATCTGGCCCTCTTCACATAGTTCTGTGGGAATTGGGGTTCAGGGAACTCATGCAGATGCTGATATTCTAGTTACCTCTACTGATGTAAGTACTAAGCTCTCCTTTGTTTCTAACCTGGGAGTCTCGTGTTTTCTGTCAGGACCCATGAAACTGGCAGGCTAACTTGTTAGCTTGCAAGTATGGTGAAATCTCAGACCCCTCATATTCTTAATACTTCTAAATAATGGTTTGTTAAATGGAATGTATTTGGAAAAATTTATTGAAACATCGATTTCTAATTTGTGCAGTTTGTTAGAAGTTCATTTAGGGTGTTATTTCTCCTTATTTGATGTAGGGTTTGTTTATAATGTCAGCCCGTACATGGAGTATCACCCTGGTGGAGAAGAGGAACTTATGAGTGCAGCAGGATCAGATGGTACTGACCTTTTTGACCAGGTAAGGTGCTGAAAGTGACCATTCCCTCACAGTGGAAGAGTGCTCTTAGGTTCAGCAGTGCGACAGTGGTAGAAAGAAAGAAAATAGTGGCATAAATTTCAGACGTGTGGCTTGAATTTTGAAGTGTGGGAAGATGCTCATAAGTAATAACTGTTCATTTAATTTGAATTATTTTACTAACAGTTTAGAGTTGCTCTCAGATCTGTATCTGGGAGTTTACTCTTAAGTGTTTGCTGCTCCTCTGCTGGCAACTGTTTACTCAGTTTTGATCAATTTTGATAATGGTGATGACTGACTTATAGGAGGCGGTGACCATTAGAGGAAATAACAAGTCCCTTAGCTTCTTTGCTTATTTGGGGATTGTTACATAATCAGCCTGTCTTGCTGTACTAAGTCTGCATATTATGTAGAAAGATCATTAATGAATAGAAAACATATTTTTCCTAGAGATAGCAGAGATTCTGTAGTATGTGTCAAAAGATATTTAAATTAGTCACTTTTCCCCCTTATATTTATTAAAAACAATGATTAGCTCTTATACTGTTTAAAAATCATGTAGAATATGCTAATTACTATCAATTGGCTGAACTGCTATTTTGAAACAACTATCTTGAGAAGAATAGAAATTTGCCTTTGTCTCACAAATGCTTTATTTTGTATTTTAGCGATGATTAACCATGTTGTAGTACTGGGTTTTTACCATCTGAGATACTTGAATCAGATTGGCTTATTTTTAGAGTTGCGTTCTGAACAAATGAAATTTGATTTCTGTTCCTCTTACCTTCTCATCCGTTGTAGGATTTATTTTTTGACCAGGATACCAGAAATACAATTTGTTTTGTATTTTAATGTACTTACGTGCATCTGCTTAAATAACCGAATCTCATTTGCTGTTAATGTTTTTCCTGGGTTGGAGAAAAGTCATTTTTACCCATTGGTGATAATAGGATTCTCCTTGGGAGGTCCTCATTGCTGATTTAAATTCCCGTTGTCATTTGATATTTGTTATTGGCTAGCCGTGTAAGCCAAATAGAAAGTTTGGGAATATTTGCCGGAAAACTTGTCTGCCATACTTTTATCTGTCCTGTGTCAACTGAAAAAAAAATTCACAATGTGAGAGTTGTGAGTTAAGTTTTATTTGGGGCGAAATGAGGACTGTAGCCTGGGAGACAGCATTTCAGGTAGCTCTGAGAAACTGCTCCCAAGAGGTAGAGGGAGAGGTCGGTATTATGATTTTAGTGAAGAGGGGTGCGTGGAGTCAGGCACACATTTTGGCAGATGCTTACGGCTAGTTACGAGGAGCAGATGTCACCCTAAATGAGCTTAGTGCTTTTCTAGACATGAGAAGATGCAGGAATTTGGGCTCATAAAACCATCTCCTGAAAATATCTAACTCTCCGAAGGCCTGTTCTGCCAGTTTTTCCCAGAGTACAGAGTGCGTCATTCCTGCTCTCCACCCTGCACTCCTTTCGGGGGGTGTTGAAGGTCAGCAGCTGCAGTGGCTAGTGACTTAGTCCTTGAAGAGGCAAGATGGCAAGTACCAGTTTTTAGCTGACACCTGTAACCTCTTGATGCTGAATGTACTCTTCCACAAGATGAGTTTCCGGTAACATCTAGCCCTGTTCATATTTCTTAGTGGTGTGCGATTATATGGACCTCATTGAAATAAGCTTGTTTTGGGGGAGTCACAAGAACTGCTATATTGTTAAATTCTTTAGCAGTTTCAACAGTACTTTTGTTGACCAAAAAAAAATGCACAACCTAAAAGTTGAGAATTATGTTTTATTTGAGGCGTTACTGAGGACTGTAGTCTGGAAACAGCCTCTCAGATAGCTCTGAGAAACTGTTCCAAAGAGGTAAGGGAGAAACCAGGATATATAGGAGCTTTTGCTGGGAAAAAACATGTAGTAGAACATCGAAACATTACTACTAATCACAAAAAGCAGGCATCTCAGTTAATTATTTTAGTGCTTTTCCGTGTATGGGAAGATGCAAGAGTCTGGGCTTGTTGAAATTGTTCCTTTAATATGCACCTTAATTCTCTAGGGCCAGTATCCTCTTTTTCTCCATGCTGAATTCCTCTTAGGCCACACCACTGGGGGCCGCTGCAGTGGCTTGATGGCTTTATGGCTGCGACATCCTTTGATTACTGAAATGTCAGGCTACACCCTTTGTCCACACTTTAGTTACCAGATTGCTGCATTCCCCTTGGCTTTAATAAGACCAGAGATGTTTATTTATGACTTTTACTCACCACAGAAGTAAACAACTTGATAAAATTCTAGAAACAGTGGTGAAGTGTCTTATATCTCTAATATCTAGTATTTGAGTTGTACAAAGAATATTAAGTAATCTCTTTATCGTCAGACTTCTGTCTCTAGTTTTGATCTCACTTCTGACTTCTCGTTTCGTATTTCCAGTTGGCTGATGGGCGATTTGAAAACCTGTTGGCAATTGAACTCAGTGTGCCCTCAGATAATATCAACTCATCTTCTTCCCTTTGTTTTTTCTACTGTTTCCTGTTTCTGGAAATGGGAACTTGAAACCACTTGAGTAACCTTTACCTTCTCTCATTGTATTATTGAAGTGGTCACCTGGACCTGTGCCAGGGTCTTGGCCCAGGTCGAGATCCCTTGTCTCAGCCTGGGAGGTTCTTTTTCTGCTTGGATTCGTATAGCCAATAACAAAACCAGTGCTGAGACTGGAACAGCACAAGCTTTCTTCGGTGGCCAAAGAATGGAGAAGCAAGAACTAGTTTGCAGATCAACTTCTCAACCTGACTCAGGCTGAGACACCATATATATAGGAAGGTTGAGGTAAAATGGAGGGAATTGAGTAGAGGGTGGGAGGAATATTCGTGACTTATCCGAGAACTGGGGGTGTGTTTGGACCAGGAGCTGAGGCAACACTCCTTTTCAGTCCCTTTCTGGGCTCTTCTGGTTGTTGTCATGGCAGTTGTCAGCTGTCATGGCGCTGGTGGGTGTGTCGCTTATAGCATGCTAATGTGTTACAGTGAGTGTGTAATGAGGCTCAAGGTCCACTGGAGTTTAGGTCTTCTGCCATTTGGGGCCGAGTTAGTTCTAACCAGTTGTTTAGAAATTTCTCTAGGAGCAGCTTCCTCCTTTTGTATTTAGGCCTGAAACTCGATAAGGGCAGTTAGTTTCCGTCTGAGGGAGGGGCAGGAGTATGGTTCTGGGGCAACAGTCTTGGTAACAAATGTGCCTCAACATCTAATCACTGGCGAACTTCTATGATGCTGTCTTTAAACATTGCACCTTTTCTGTCTTCCCACTGCCTTCGGTCAAGTCGTCAATACCCTCTCTAGCCCTAATATTTTAATACTGTCCCGGTATCTTTACCTTCAGTACCAATTTAGATAACATGACAGCTAGAATAGTATTCTTAAAGACAATCGTCTTAGCATCTTGTTCTACAAGTTTCAGAGGCTCACCAATGACAGTGTAATAAATTCAAAGTCATTATTCTGGCACTTCAGGGCCTAAAAATAATGTATCAAGGTAAATATTCTCAACATGCAACTTGCTTTGGAACTGAAGTGCTTTGAGCAAATCACCAGTTCCATGATAGACAAACCCCATACCTTTGTCTCTTTGACTATCCTTCTCCTTCATCTATCTGTTAAAATTCTACCCAACCCTATAACCCCAGAGATGGTGCTTTACACATTACTGGAGACTCCATAACTATTTGGTAAATAAAATTTCAAGTTATATTAATTAGTGTGCATTTATAAGTACATATATATTTTTTACATATTTTCTATTTTAGTGTATATTTATTTACTCAGGAACGTACATAAAGATTCTGGTATCAGTATTATTTGACCTGATTATTTAGTGATTATATAGCGTGGAATAATATATTATGATTTTCCCTTACTGGTCTTTTACAATTGGACTTTTAGGTTGTTCCCAATATTTTGCTAATATAACTAGTGCTATGATGAGTATCCTGGTGCCTGCATCTTTGTGTATATGCAAATATTTTCTCAGATAAATTCCTGAATTACTGAAGGGAAGAGCTGCATATTTTAAGGCTCTTGATATATATTGAGAAGATGCCCTCCAGAAAGGTTGTTTAAATTTAATTCCCACTAGTAATTCTGGCAACAAATACTGTCAGTTGTTTTCCTTGAAGTGACAGTCTCACTTTGTTCATTTAGAAGAAAATGTCTATCAGATACCCAAGTCTGAGTAACTAGTTTATAGGTCATTCTTTTTCTTTTATGGGTAAATAGCCTTTCAAGAAAAAACACAGTTTAATAGGCAAATCAAACAGTTGCCTAAGTGTTTTTCCTCGCAGCAACCATCTTACTTAGCAGCAGAAGTGTTTTTGAGAACTTCCCATTTTGTCACACAGCATATAAAAAAGACCTGTAACCAAGGGTTGAGGTTTAAGAAAATTGTTTTTTCTACTTCATGAAGGATATTCTTAAATGAAAGCAACTCCCTCCAGCCCTGTGGGTCTGTGGTGGTGAGCAGTGTAATGATTGAGCCCACTGCCTTGATTTGTGCTGAGATGCAAACTGGTTTACCCACCATTGCTATTTCAGCATCACTGCAAATGTCAATACAAGAAAAAGGCAAATAACATCTTAGTATTATTATGAAGGTAATCAAGACCTCGTGGGTATCTGAAAGGGCGTCAGTAACCTCCAGAGGTCTGTACACAACACTTTGAGAACATTGTTCTAAAGTCCCTATATATGCTCCCATTTTGTCACTCCCTTGTTGGCTAATTGAATCTGCTTCTTAGTTTTTCAGAGCCGTGTAAGAATATTTAGTTTTCATCAGAAAAAAATTAGGGCATCTCATGGAGTTAGAGTCATGTTGCTTTTCTGCTATTTTTCTCCCACACCAGGTTCATCGTTGGGTCAACTATGAATCCATGCTGAAAGAATGCCTGGTTGGCAGGATGGCCGTTAAACCTGCTTTTCCTAAAGGTACGTGAAGCCAGGGCTAAACTGGCATTGATGTGTGATACACATGGACTGTCTTTTAGGTGGATTTCAGCAAATAGATTTAAAGAAATCACTAAATTGTTCTCATTTCACTGGCGCCCTGTTCTAGCCACTGTAAAGATTTTACTTTAGTTCTTTAGAATGAAACAATGACTTTACCTTAAAAATTTGGCATGTTTTGAGAGAACATTCATAGTGTGGAGAATAAGCATAATGGAAGTGAAAGAACTTTATTTACTTAGTTTTCATTAGTCTTTTATTCTCTTGTTACATAGAGTAGCTCGAACAGTTGGTTGGAAGTGACTTTTAGACTAGTTTCCTAAAATTTAATTTTTTGAATATGTAATTGTATTCACATGACTCAAAAATCAGAAAATATAAAAAGTTATACAGTAAAGTTTCCCCTCTCAGCTTTGTCTCCCATTTGCCTTGAACTTTTCCACTCCTTGACTCTTTACCATAAAAACTGATTTTAAAGTACTTTTAAAGAAACCAATTGCTTGGGACTTCCCTGGTGGTCCAGCAGTTAAGACTCTGTGCTCCCAATGCAGGGGGCCTGGGTTTGATCCCTGGTCAGGGAACTAGATCCCACACGCATGCCGCAACTGAGATCCCACATGCCGCAACTAAAGATCCCATACACTGGAACGAAGATCCCACGTGCTGCAACTAAGACCTGATGCAGCCAAATAAATAAATAAATGTTAAACAAACAAACAAACAAAAAAACAATTTCTTTCCCTTCCTTCCAAACTGCCACTCAACAATCGGCATGGTGTTGGAGATCATCTCTTTCCTCCTAAGCTTCTTTTGGAAGAGCGCCCTTTGAAAAGTTTAGACAGGCAATTGGAGTAGCAGGAAGTACTTTGCTTAAATCCTTTACTGTAGATGGAACTGAGTCGTTTCTTTTGAACAACTCCTGATTTTGACATCCAAATTAGGAATATATTGGCTTGTTTGAGCTGACTCTGCTACTATTTATTTAGTTCAGTGAGTTTTGTACTTCAAGGCCTTACTGTTAGAGGCCTGTGTCAGCTGTATAGAAATAGCACAGGCGTACTTAGATTTGAACCCTAGCTCCATGGCCTATTGGCTGTGCCATAAAGATGGCAGTTTCTGTCTCTGAGCCTCCAGTTTTTTCATCTGTACACATTACTCATAGGGCTAAGAATTAATGTGAGTAAATTAGCATGAATTTAACACAGGCTCAAAAAGGATTTTTTCTTTCTATTGCTATAAAACAAATAAGCAGTACACGCATACAGGCATACTTCGGAAGTATTGCAGATTCAGTTCCAGACCACTGCTATAAAGCAAATATTGCAATAAAGCAACTCACGTGAATTTTTTGGTTTCCCAGTGCACATAAAAGTTACGTTTACACTCTATTCCAGTCTGTTAAATGTGCAATAGCAGTATGTCTGAAAAAACAACATACATACCTTAATTTAAAGACACTTTGTTACTGAGAAAAGCTAACCATCATCTGAGCCTTCAGAGAGTCAGTCTTTCTGCTGGTGGAGGGTCTTGCCTTGATGCTGATGGCTGCTGACTGAGCAGGGTGGTGGCTGCTGAAATTGGGGTAGCCGTGGCAACTTCTTAAGATAAGACAGCAGTGAAGTTTGCCACGTTGATTGATTCTTCCTTTCATGACGATTCTTCTGTAGAATGCAGACCTGTTTGGTAGCATTTTACCCACAGTAGAACTTCTTTCAAAATCAGTCAGTCCTCTCAAACGCTGCTGCTGCTTTATCAGCTAAGTTTCTGTACTATTCTGAATTCTTTGTTGTCATTTCAACAATCTTAACAGCATCTGCACCAGGAGTAGATTCCATCTCAGGAACCACTTTCTTTTCTCATCCATAAGAAGCAACCCCTCATCTGTTCAAGCTTTATCATGAAATTGTAGCAAGTCAGTCACATCTTCAGGCTCCACCTCTAATTCCAGTTCTCTTCCTGTTTCTACCATGACTGCAATTATTTCCTCCACTGAAGTCTTGAACCCCTCAAAGTCATCCAGGAGGGTTAGAATCAACTTCTTCCAATCTCCTGTTAATGTTGATATTTTGACCTGTTCCCATGAATCAGGAATGTTCTTGATGGCATCTAGAATAGTGACTCTTTCCAGAAGGTTTTCAATTGACTTTGCCCAGATCCATCAGAGGAGTCACTATCTGTGGGAGCTATAGCCTTACAAAATGTATTTTTTAAATAATAAGACTTGAAAGTCTAAATGACTTTTTGATCCACAGGGCGCAGAATGGATGTTATGTCAGCAGGCGTGAAAACAACATGAATCTCATTGAACATCTCCATCAGACATCCTGGGTGACCAGGTGCATTGTCAGTGAGCAGTAATATTTTGAAAGGAATCTTTCTTTTATGAGCAGTAGTTTTCAACAGTGGGGTTAAAATATTCAGTAAACCATATTATAAACAGATGTGCTTTATTATTCCATTTATAGAGCACAGGCCGGGTAGATTTAGCATAGTTCTTAAGGGCCCTAAGATTTTCAGAATGGTTAAGTGAGCCCTGGCTTCAACTTCAAGTCAGCAGCTGCATCAGACCCTAACAAGAGAGTCAGCCTGTCCTTTGAAGCATTGAAGCCAGGCATTGACTTCTCCTCTCTAGCTATCAAGGTCCTAGATGGCATCTTCTTCCAGTAGAAGGCTGTTTCTTCTACACTGAAAATCTGTTGTTTAGTGTAGCCACCTTCATTAATTATCTTAGCTAGATCTTCTGGATAACATGCTACGGCTTCTACATCAGCTCTTGCTGCTTCCCTGTGAACTTTTATGTTATAGAGATGGCTTCTCTCCTTAAACTTCATGAACCAACCTCTGCTAGCTTCACACTTTTCTTCTGTATCTTCCTCTCCTCTCTCGACCTTCATAGAATTGAAGAGATTAGGGTCTTGCTCTGAGTTAGGCTTTGGCTGAAGGGAATGTCGTGGCTGGTTTAATCTTCTATCCAGGTCACTAAAACTTTCTCCATGTCAAAGGTAAGCCTGTTTTGCTTTCCTGGAGTAGCACTTTTGATTTCCTTCAAGAATTTTCCCTTTGCATTCACACTTTGGCCGACTGTCTGGTATAAGAGGCCTAGCTTTCAGACTGTCTTGGCTTTTGACATGCCTTCCTCACTAAGCCTAATCATTTCTAGTTTTTTATTTAAAGGGAGAGTCATGGGACTCTTCCATTCACTTGAACACTTAGAGGCCATTGTAGGGTTATATTAATGGGCCTAATTTCAGATTGTTGTGTCACAGGGAATAGGCAGGCCCAAGGAGAGGAAGAGAGATGGAGAAATGGCCAGTCGATGGAGCAGTCAGATCACACATATTTATAGATTGAACTTGCAGTCTTATGTGGGTGCAGTTTGTGGTGCCTCAAAATAATTACAATGGTAACATCAGATCACTGCTCACAGATCACCGTAACAAATACAATAATGATGAAAAGGTTTGAAATATTGCCAGAATTACCAAAACGTGCCCTAGAATCATGAAGCGAGCAAATGCGGTTGGAAAAATGGCACCAGTAGACTTGCTCAATGCCGCGTTGCCCCAAACCATCAGTTTTTAAAAACGCAGTATCCGTGAAGTGCAGTAAAGCAAAGCACAATAAAACGAGGTCTGCGTGTATACCAAAGGCAGACTAGTTTGAACTTCAGTGTCTGGCAGTTCTTCCAAACCAGTTTACTCTTGTAAACAAATCCCTTTCTTCTCTTAATTGCTCCTGAGTTCACCTGTTCACTGCCAGCGGGGGCCATGTTCTTAAGGAAAGCTTCTAACTGACTAATTTTACCTCATCCTGGACATTACTTATCTTGTTTACACAGTCCGGTACTAAAGGTGATGTGCTTCTCTGTAATTCAGTGTGGTCAGAAAGTGTGCCAGCTCCTTAGGCTTCTGTGTCATAGGAGACATGAAATTAATAAAAGGATTTTTCTGGTTTCCTTCCTTCCTCCCTGGAAATGAAAGACAGATAATCTTCAGAATGTTTCATCAGATACGGCAAACACCGTTTAAAATGAGCAGACTCCACAAGGAAGTCCCCAGATATTTAATTTAAAAAAAAGGGGGGGGGGCGGTGCTAGAAGCGGCAGTCCAGGATGATAAGCTCGTTCTGATGCCTCCATTTCCCCAAAGCACTTATCAGATTCTTGGAACGTAGAGCCACATGGGAATTTTAATGGTCACATAGGAAATGGGAGACCGGATCTTGGGTCTGTAAAGGCAGGGAGTTGGAGCTGAGATCCCTGCCTATAGCTTGACTCTTGAAGTCTATATGATCAGTGAAATGGGAAGGCTTGAAAAGAAATCTGTGCAACAACAAAGGGAGATGTCAGGATTGTCTGCCTTCACCTTGTTTATGAGGTGATGGAGGAGAGGAAAGAGAAATCTCCTTTGAGAATTTGTAACCACAGTCTTGCACACGTAAGAGTTGGGAATTCAAATATATATACCACCTATGTGGTCTTAGAAACCTCAAACCGAGAAATAAAATGGTCTCCCATTACTGGTTTCCCTGCCTGCTTGGCAGATTTATGTACACGTTTTTAATGGTGGAACAAACTTTCAAGCTAAAACCCTTAAAACGCCCACAGGGACACATCACCAGTTATTAGTGTACAGTAGAAAAATTAAACAACACTTGAGGAAGCAAGTCAGCAGAAACAAAAGCAGAATTTCACCCCTTGGACTTTATTATTTGTATACAAGTAATTATAAAAATAATTATGAATAAAAATAATTATGTTTGAAGTGATTAGGAAAATAAGAATGAATTGGTAACATGAGTAAAGCAAGAGACTGCTAAAATAATCATGTAAAATTGAAAAAAAATAGAACTCCTAGAAATGAAAAATGGAGCTGGTGAGATTAAAAAGTGCATAGCACGAATAGTTAGAGTTTAGACGTAGTAGAGGAGTTGAGTGAACTGCCAGACTGAGCAGCAGACGTTGAACAGAACGTGGTGCATAG